GTGGCCACTGTTTAAACCAGGAAGATATGGGTGTGGTTTTTACGACTCTTTGCGGTTGACGTGAAACGGTTTATAGTCAAGGGTGAATTTCAAACGCTTCACTGACATGGGAATCGCAGCGAATGTCGGCATTTTGTCCTTTCCTTTGGTGGGAAAACAACTCCACCACGGAACGGCAGTGATTAGGCAATCCTCGCCACGGGCTATTTGAGACACCTAGCCGTATGGTAATATTTCGCGAGGTGCAAGGAAAAGTTGACAAACAATAAACGGAGACATCCATTCAGATTATACTGAGGATTTCAGTTTCAGTTTCCAAACGACTAGTGGGTCGATATTCTCGAAGGTTTATAAGAAGGATGACGTCTGACCCGGTTGAGGTAGTGAAGACCACATTTTCACTGCACATGAAGAGACTGAGAGCCCGAGAAATGTGATCAGTTCAAATTGGACGTGATAGGTTTGAATAGGACGGACGACTGAAATGATCTTGACCGACGAGAAAACTCGACAGAATTCTGCACATGCGTCACTTTCAGTTCTGTAGTCAGTCTACAGTCGTGCAGACGATCCGCAGACAGTCAGATGGTCTAGAAAGTTTGAAAAGCCATCAATGAGGCAGATAAACCAGTTTCAGTCCCATCACCACGACACTGCATCTTGACGTGGTGTGATGACTTGCGCGCCACAATGACCTTGATCGCTCCTCAGCCGCAGATCCATTCATGCCTGAAAGGTCAACGGTTAGAGGCCAAACGAAGATCAGTCTCACAAAGCCAGCTGCTTTGCTACCTACTGTATTCCTTCTATTCACACTCGCCTCTGGAGAGGCCAATCCAGTAAATAAACACGCTGAGTGACAGATTTTTGCTAGATGGACGTGGGAGCGGGATACCTAGGGCTTCCTCTCGATGGTGGGAGAAGTCTTCGCACTTCATTAAACAGCTACCGCCCACCCAAGCTGGACAGCCCCCAGCCAAAAGGTGTTGTCCCGTCCACATTCCGCTTATCTCATAGGGTGCATGAGGCTCAGGACCGATCCCGAAAAGTGGACCGATTATCAACGCGAACAACACACTGAACCGAAACCCGAAGGCCTTGCGCGGCAGATCTACAGATGCTCCCACACGGGTGCTTCGTTCGTGCCCCCGACAAGATTTACGCCCCACTGCCTTAGGGGACAGGTTTTGAATCAAAGGCTCCGGTTAGGGTTCCCAAAGAAAAACCCCTTCTTCGGTGCCGTGGACCTAAGTCTTAGGTACTCAGTTGGAGAAATGTCTTCCTCAACTGTCTATTTCCTCTTCTCACTCCCATATCTTAGGAGATGCATTCTGTTTGCGCCACCCATGGGATACCACTCAGAGTTGAACTAATGAGGCCAACCACTCAGAGGCTGTCAGATGTACGAAACTAAAATCTCCTTTTCACTTAGCTCCACTGAATGTCCGCACACTCCACCAGATCGGTCTACAAGCTGCCCTAGCTAGAACCCTTGAAACCTTCCATTTAGATGTATGCCGTGTCTCCGAAACACGCACACAAGATCTTACTTCAATCATCTCCCTGCGTTCTCCAGATCCAACCTCTACCTCGCGCTTCACTCTCCGTGCGTCAGGCGATTTGACATCCGAAGCTCGAAGTGTTGCTAGTGTTGGGATTGCGCTGAGTTTCAAGGCCGAGCGTTCACTTCTCAATTGGATCCCGGTTAACAGCCGACTTTGCGCCGTACGTCTGGATGGTTCAGTACGAGTCAATAGCTACAGAATGAAGCGTCGATACTTATTCGTCGTATCCGCGTATGCACCGACAGACTGCAGTTCGCCAGAAGTGAAGGATGAATTCTACAAGGACCTCTATCAACTGCTCCGAAGTGCTCGGTCAACGGACATCGTGATAGTCACCGAAGACTTCAATGCTCAAGTGGGATCCCTGGACGAATCATAAAGGCTACTTGGTGCTTCACATGCAATCCCAGCCAGCAGGACTGACAACGGAGAACGTCTACTCCAACTTTGTGCTGACCACGGAATATATCTGTCAAGCACAAACTTCTCGCACAAAAAACGGCACCGCCAACTTCTCCACAGCGCTGGACTCAAACCGACCACATTGCCATCAGCCACCGCTGATCCATTGAAGACCCATTGAAGACTGCCACTCATACTGGTCAACACCCGTGGACATGGACCATACTCTGCTACGGGCGAAATTCTCTCTACGCCTAGAAAACAACCGCAGAAAAGTCACCGAAACCGGATGCCCTAGATACAATGTCAGCAATGGTTGCAAATCGGCCTTCGAAGCGGAACTATCAGATCGTCTCTCAGCTCAACTATCAGCCGGAGGACTCAGTGAGCACTGGACGGCAATCAAGGAAGCAATCCAAATGTCAATCGAAACAACAGCAAATTCTGACTCACGATCGAATAAAAAACGATGGATCTCCCCGACTTCGGTTGCCCTGATAGACGCTCGAAAAGCCATTCCTCCGGATTCCAAATACGACAAAGCGCGCAAATCCCTTAAACGCCAGCTCATCAAGAGTCTGAGGAATGACCACGAGAAGTGGTGGGTAAGAAAGTGTAGAGACATGGAGAAGGCTGCGGCTATCGGTAATAGTCGCAATCTTTTCCGATTAATTAAGAGTACAGGCCCCAGGAAAGCGGGCGTAAGTGAGGTAATTAAGGAGTCCGACGGCACACTGATCCATATTCAGCAACGCCGACTAGATCGATGAGCAGAACATTTTAAGACTCAGTTCAGCTGACTTCCATCAGCACAGAACTTCGCGACACCCGATTCAACTGTGCAAATACTGCCATATGATATCAGTCCTCCACCTGAAATAGAGGTTACCTGAGAAATAAGCTATCTCAAAAGGTGTAAGGCTTCCGGCCCCGACGGGCTGTCCCCATCGGCTTTTAAGGATGGAGGTTTAGCCTTGGTTTTGAAGTTAACAAAACTCCTGGGTTCAGTGTGGGAGAGAGAACAGGTTCCAACGGAATGGTGTGAATCGGTGATCACACCAATTTACGAAAAAGGTGACAGGTTCTCTTGTGAAAACCACAAAGGAATTAGTTTAATCAACATCGTCTCTAAATTTCTCGCTGGTATTATACTTCGGCGATTATCTGCCGCACGTGAACGATGTACGCATAGGAACCAGGCTGGTTTTTTACCTGGTCGAGATTGTATGGACCACATCTTCACTCTTCGTCTAATTCTAAAACACGGTCATTTCTTTCGCAGACCCACCATTTCCATCTTCCTCGATCTGAAATGGGTTTTCGACTCAGTTGGCCGCTCCAAACTTTGACACTGCTTTTCTCTCAAGGTTTTGGCAGAGAAGTTGTTTTGAATACTACAATCCCTATACAATAATGGCCGAAGCCGAGTGCAAGCTGACGGTACTTTTTCACCCGAGTTCGACAGGTTGCCCATTTTTGCCATTTCTATTGAACTTCGTCATGGATTCAATTCTTTAAACAACCCTATCTTCCTGCGAGGATAGCGGTATCGATTTACTCGGAGGCAGACTGTCTGCTCTAGAGTATACAGACGCCATTGTACGACTGAGTGAAGATCCATGTCAGTTGCAAGCCTTTGTTGATTGATGGAGTGATAATGTAGCCATGTTTTCTATGCGTTTTGCATCTTAAAAGTATAAAATGTTGTTACAAGATTGGGTTGGTCCAGCCGCCCACCTCACCGTGGCTGTGGAAGTAGTAGAGGAAATGGACGAGTTTTGCTATCTCGGCAGATATATCTCACCCGGTGGAAGCATCATACATGCATTGTAGGCGCCATCGCTACATCCGGCTGTCCGTGAAGGATCGAGTGTATGCTGCAGCAGTTAGGCCATAACTGCTCTACAGTGCATAGACTTGGCCACTACGGGAACAGGATTAAAATAGATTGTCGGTGTCCTTTCTCTTCATTTGCTATATATATCTTTGTTATATATCTGATTATGGAAGCAGCCCCTTTTCCTTGTGCGGGGATAGCAGCGTCGATTTACTCCCAGGTGGCACACTGTCTGATTTATAGTATGCAGACGACATTGTGCTACTGAGTGAAGATTCAGTTGCAAGTTGCAAGCTTTTCTGGATAGTTTGGGTGCTAATGTAGCCATGTTCGGTATGCGTTTTGCACCGTTTAAATGTGAAACGCTGCTCCAAGATTGGGTTGGCACAGTCCCCAGCCTCAGTCTGACCGGGGAAGTAGTAGAGGAAGTTGACAAGTTTATCTGGGCAGCTATATCTCACCTGGCGGACGCAGACAGAAGTGTTGCAAACAGTGGCGCTCATGCATCTACTCATTATTCTTGTAACTTCAGTCTATGAAAATGTGTTATGTTCCGCTTGAATCTGCTCTCAACATTTTAATCATCATTGTGCTGTTTTATCCAAATGGGCAACCAAAGCCGGTGCACGAAAGTGCATGGTTCATCGTTGTAAGAACTGAACTGAACATCCGTAAACCTCCACGTGATTTTCTCCTGTCCGAAGCAGCAACGGCAAATAAGGCGCGCTATGGCCGATGACATCTGGGTAGGGGTATACTGAGATAAAATCGCCTTTTGGATGGTGAAAATCGCCACAATTGGTTGATGATAGGTGACGCCATACGAGGACTCGATGCTATGTAAAATTTTGATCAATAAGCCCGTACTGTTGTTTATGAATATCGGGATTTTTTAAAGATGTCAGACTTCCAAGTATACCAGAGATTGATAGTTTGGTGACTACAGGGATCAAGTACACGGAATGACGGAATAAAGAGGATGACCAAAAATTGTGATCTGAGACAGAGCCAATAACTCATGAGGAAACTATGACTCACGGTAAGCACAACCGGCTGAGACAGAAGAGCAAGAATGGGCTAACTAAATTTGCTATTTTGTCATCGACCAATGAATCACAATGCAGTGAATCAAAACTAAGGCGTAATCTCTCAACAAAGGAGAAGGAGTTCCATAAACTGGCGGGAACCCGTACCGCTCATCTATCTAGCATGAAAGACGACCACTTGCCTAATTCCTGATGCGTTTCAACCAATGGCACACGATCAAACATGGCGAAGAATAATTGGATAAGCGAGGTCAATCGAACCCGGGTCAATTCAAAGCCGATACGCAATCCGATCACGTAGATGCAGTCAATAATTTTGTATAACACTGCACGACGTCCGGTGGCACCGGCAGGAAAACTGACATCATGACGTCCAGCCAAGCGAACAGCCTTAATCAGCAAATCTTGAAGTGAGGAGTCCTGCAATCATAAAATAGGACAATTAGAACTCATTGAACAGTATACAATATTAGAAGTGAAACAACACACACCAAGTGTGCTAATGGTCGTTGAAAGCAACCACTCGATCGGATCTGACGTTTCTCATGTGATGCCAAAAAAATAAGCCCATT